AAAAGCTGTACTAATTCATATTCTGTATGTAGTAACAGCAACAGCAGCTGGTTCTCCAAAAGCTGGAAATAAGGAATCGACAACTCTCATTCATGTGCACTGAGCCCCACAGCAGAGGACAGAGCAAAACGAGCAATTCAGAGTATTCCCCAGGCGAAGCATTTATGGTGAAAAACAAAAAGGAATGTCCATTTGCTGAGAGATCACATCTGCTGAACTAAGTGGGTATCACATTAGAGATCTTTTAACTGCCAGATCTTGTGCAGTTGGGAAGAAGGAGTTTTATTTCTATAAGAAATATGAGGCAAAAGTAGCTAGTTTGAAATATAAACCCTTTTTTTTGACTGAGACTGAGCACTTCAGCGTGATACAAAGGCCAAAAGCTTAGTTTGCACTGCAAGGGAGATTGATCTACTAGGTGTGAAAATCCAAAGAAAACTGCAGCAAAGCTAGGGCAGCAAAAAAGACTAAAAACCAGCCAAAAAGGGCCAGAACCCATCCATGCTGGGTGCAGCCAGGGACACAGGGCACTGCCTCGAGTTTAGCTGCTGGGTAACCTGAGGAGAGAGTGTGTGTGCAAATACTTCATTTTTACATTAAATTAAGGTTTTCATAATGGTATTTGTTTTCTCACAGTTTCATTTGGTTTTTAGAGTGTTCGGTGTAGTCACAGAAGAGTTGATGGACCATAAGGATATAACCCACCACTTGCAGTTTACTTCCAATACAAAAAAAAAAACCTAACAAAAAATCAATGTCTTACTAGTCACCTTGGTTTATTTGGTGTTCTCCAAAGGTAGTCAAATTCTGATTTTTACCCCCATGATCCTTACATGCACGTTAACAAAAGGAATTGTATTTTCTTACAGAGTAACATTCAACCTTCATTTGGTACAGATCACTTCTGCAGCAGCAAGCAATCTGCCTTGCTTTTAAGTAAGAACTTCACTAAAAAGAAAGAATTCTCTAATTTCACAATCCTGTTGTTTCTGAACTTTGTTTGTTCCTGAACCTTATTTGTTGCAGAAGCAATTTTTAAAGCCTTAACCTGTTGACTCATCTTTCTTTTTCAGAATCTGAAATGGTATTATGGACTAATTCCACTTTTATCACAACAAATGAATAGCTAAGAATGACAATAGAGCACTTGTAAGGGTTCATTAGTGGGGTTGAATGAAAGGGACCGAGTTTATAGTGCCAAGAAGATCTGAAGTTCATGTCAGAGTATTCTCAACTGAGGAATCTAAAATGAAGAAAGTACTACAGTATTGCCAAAGGAAAATGCAAGTAATTGAAAGAACAGACAACAGGAAAGAGCTAGCTGTATTCTTCCTGTTCTTTTCTCTGTCATTGACAAACCTCCTCTGAGTCATTTTATTGCCATGTCAAAATAGCTGAAGTGTTATAAGAAAAAGAGCTCACAGCACAGGTAGTACAGAAACTCTCAGAACAGCTGTACATACAGTTTTTGGACTCATGAAAAAAAATTAAAATCCCAGTTTTCCAGTGGTTTATGGCCTTACTTTACGAAGGATGAGAAAGTTCATACCATGTATACAGAACTAAAATGCAGGAGTTTTAAAAATTCCATATCCAGATTTAAAGATAATAATTAAATTAAAGTAGTTGGAGGTCAGTGCTCGGTCAGCTGTTCCAGAACTCGGACCACTACTAGGAAAATACACAGGAAGCCTCTCAGTTGCTACAATGCCTAAAATATAGATGATGTACAAACTCCCTGTTTCTCAGAGGCAGGTCTGGCAGTTCAGGTGGAGAAAGGGACAGACTGCAATAAAAAATAATTTGAGCCTTTGCTGACATTTAGCACTAAGACTTTGACTTTTGTCCAGTTTTGAAGAAAAGACAAAGTTTAACTTCTTTACTGCAGGACTTGTCAGTATTCTTGTATTTGAAATCCTAGAGAAAGAAATCTTGAATTCTGTTACTGAAACTTTTGGAAGTGTTCTCTTTCATTGTGTATTTATACATTTCCACACACCTACACATTACACTAAGGTGTAAGTATTCACTGAAGTCCTAGAAAAGCCTTGGGCAAAGGAGCAACTTCTGAGTCCCAAAAATCAGGTGCATTTTTCAGTGAAACAGCTCATTGCTTTTGGGTTTTTTTAACCTGCACTATTCATGAATTAGACTCATGTTTCCTCTATGTCCTGATGTAAAAGCTTGCCAAAGGAGGGGTAGGTGCTTTCTTCTTTAAGCAACATTGGACACTCTATTGCACTCTCCACCGGTCAGACAGGGAGAGAACAGTAAACCCCATGATCTGTATCTGCAGAAACACAGTAATTGGCAAAAATACCCCCTCTGTTCTGCTCTTGTGAAACTCTACCCGGAATACTGTGTGCAGTTCTGGTGCCCTCAACATAAGGAGGACATGGAACTGTTGGAGCAAGTCCAGAGGAGCCCACGAAGTTGGTAAGAGGACAGGCTGAGGAATTTGGGGCTGTTCAGCCTGAAGAGAAGAAGGTTGTGTGGAGACCTCAGTAGCTTTTCAATATCTGAAGGGGCTACAAGGAAGCTGGAGAGGGAGTCTTTGTTAGGAACTGCAATGATAGGACAAGGGGTAACAGGTTCAAATTGAAGGAGGAGAAATTTAGGCTAGATAATAGGAAAAAGTGTTTTCCTGTGAGGGTGGTTGGGACACTGGCACAGGTTGCCCAGGGAAGTAGTGGATGCCCCAACCCTGGCAGTGTTCAAGGTCAGGCTGGATGAGCCTTGAGCAACCTGGTCTAGCGAGGAGGTGTCCCTGCCCATGGTAGGGGGGGTTGGAACTAGATGATCTGTTAGGTCCATTCCAACCCCTAAAAGTCTATAATTCTATGAAATGGAATTATGGTCACTGATCTAAACTGGGAAAATGGTTTCTAGGGATCATTGATGCCATGCTGTAACACTTTATCTACACTAACTTCCTAAAAAACACATTTCATGCTACAGCTTTCATATGTGTTTGGCTAAGAACAAAAAACAGGCACTGGTGCTTGGGACTGGAGATACATGAACTCAGCTGTGTGGCTTTGCCAGCATCTGAGCTCCTGCACGTGATGATCCGAGTCCTGCAGACCACACTTCCTCCATGAAAACCGTTCTCTGGGAGTAAGCAAACACTGACTGCATCCCACCTCTGTTTCCTATGCTTCCACTCTCTGAGCAGCCAATAATTAAATATTTTTCTTTCCTCTTCCAAACACATTCATAAAACAAAGCAGCAGTAGTTCATAGTAGTATTGTTGCAGCCTAAGTGTTCTGAATAGCTGTGAAGCACCTTATAAACCACTGTAGCTGTACTGCTGGAGCTAGTGTAAGGCTTTAAAAATGCAAGTGTTAAAAAGAGCATAAAGAATTGTGCAGCTATTGCAAAATACTTAACCAAGTTACTAGGCAATTTCCTTCCAAATGGAGCTGTTAGGCAGCGATTCTCCTGGGCTGATTCACCTCCTGGCAAGGCCTTCTGGAAGTCATGTCTACCTGAAAGCTGTGAATTTGTACATCAAACTGAAAGGCTTTTTTTTTTAATACACATTCACAAAATATGGTATTTGCAAACCAGCACAAAATGCTCACATTTCACATTTATATATAAATAGCAAGTACCTTTTACACCATGTAAAGTGAATTTTCCTATTTGCTTTCACTTGAGAGTATGCTTTTTAAGCAGTCATTGATTTGGCCTAATGTATTGGAAAGTGGCAGTATCCACATTTTAGCAGCAATTAAAAAAAAAAAGGTTGGGAGGGATTAAAACCCTGAACAAAAATTCTGGCACGACAGTGAAGGCTGGGTCTTGGCAGTGGTTTGGCAGCGTTGCAGGGGACTGTGTGCACACTCAACTGGGACAGGGCCCTGCTGAGCACTGCTCACAGCCCAGTGCTTCCCAGGCAGCTGCAGGAACCCCAAGCAGGGCAGTGATGGAGGACCCATCCTCCATGAGATTTTGTAAAGGTTAATCAGTGACACAAAGGGTGAAGCTTTATATCCTTTTTCTGTCCCTGAGCCCAGGAGCACTCTCTGTAGTTGCTGATAAAAAGGAAAAGGGTGGGACTGCATCTTGTTAAGTTTGACTTCTGTTGTACTACTGAGTGTTGTAGGTATTAACATATACCTGTTTTATTTTCTTTGGGTTAAATCTGTCATTTGTTTGAGTGTGACTGAGATCTGAACCTGTCCTTGAAAGCATCCAAACACACACAGCTTTCGCTGCGGTGACAATGTAGGTATCTCATGTCACAAACTGTCACTTCAGCTCCATTCTGATCTCTAGCACAGTGGAGCACTCAAATGGCATTTGCTAAAAGTGAACACTGCACACACTGATATTACCTGTGTTTGTGACTTGCTGTGAAATTCAGGTCCTTTGATTTGGTTAGAAGCCCAGCGCTGCGTGATGGTGGTGGTGGTGAAGCATCCTCAACTCCTGGTTTTGGAGCAGGGTGTAACCTGGCTCAGCCTGAGGCCCCACAAAAGGACCTACCATAGGCACTTTAATTTTAGGTGTAGCTACACTAAGGACTGCAAACCACCCTCAGGAAATGTGCAGCTTTCATCCTCCTTGCTGGAGTGACGTGCCCAGAGCTGATGGCAGAAGTCGGCTGGAGGCGCTTTGCAGAGGGCTTTGCATGGTTTGGCTTTGGATTGCTATTTACAGGCACTTCACTGCCCTCATACCTGTAAGCTCTTCTGCTCCTTCAAAAACACTTTGTCCCTTAGTTGAAAACTGACCGTGGCTGAAGCACCTTCTGTGGGTTTCCATACAACTGCACATCAATCCTATAATATCACTTCGTTGTAAACATAAACCTCTTTACAAAAAATAAACACATGCTACCAGTCTAACCCTAAAGCCTAGAGCAGTAAGAAGCCAGTTCAAGCCTAAGTACACATTAAATAGCTTTGGAGGCAAATAAAATTAAAAGCTAAATTACAAGCATGTAAGATCTCCGTTGCTGCTGAGTGATTATTTTCTAGCCCTGGGTCACACTTTATATCTTCGCACTGTCCTGTTTTGGCGGTTCTGCTGACTGTGTCTCCAGGACTGAATATTTAACTAGGGAGAAAGAAAAAAAAAATCACGAGTACAATAATACACAATGGAACCAGGGCACAAGCAATGGACACCCAGCACTGGCTGATTGTATGTGACACTGGAAAACCCTTTGCAGCAGCCTTGATTGTCTGTCACTGAAAGAAGGCTCTCTTATGCGAGACACTCGATGGCTGGAAACATGAAAGCTAAATATTAACTGCCATCATTTGCAGCCTGAGATCTTCGGGCTCTTACCATGGCTTTTCTTTGTGTGCAATAAAAGGGGAAAAGCACTGTGGTGGGTGTTTCACAAAAAGTTGCAGCAGCACCTAAGCAGTGCCTTCATCAAAGGGACATGACATCTCCACGCAGCACCAGAGACCATGAGGAAGTCTCTTGGTAAAACTGCTTTTGTGGCTGGATGCAGCAGGGCGAGGGATGCAAGCACTCACCTTGGGGCTCCTCGCTGACGACAGCTTCCATGTTTTCTCCTTTCACATATTCCGTGTTGAGTCCCTCTGAGAAGTACAATAAAGAGTGAGATGGGGTGGGTAGAAAGGAAAAATGATTTGCTTTGATGCCTTAAAAACTCTGGTAATGGGCCTGTGTGCTGTGACAGCCAAGATGCCTTTTTGCATCTGCAGTGACAGAAGCACAGAAGCATCAGTAACCAACAACTAGTGCTGAGAGTCTCGCTGGGTTTCAAAGTGCCCACAGAGCTTGCCTGGCAGGCACAGCTCCCAGCAGTGGCTCCTTTGTCTGAGGCTCTTGCTTCATCTTTATCACGCGAGGCAGCACAGCTAATTCCCGTGCTAAGGCGCTCAGCTCGGGGAAGTGCAGAGAGGAGGAAGGTTTCCTGGACAGCACTGCTGTGCCTCAGTGCAGAGATGTGGCACAGCCTCATTAAAAGCTAAGTTATGCAGAGCTCTGAGAAGCAGTTCAGAGCAGGGCTGTGGTGATGAAGCAGGATCCCAGTGGGGTGTCAAATCCCGAATAAGTCCCTTATTTAAATGCAAAGAAGTTCCCCACGAGTGCAACAAGTGAAGCCCAGGCCAAGGAGCAAGGCTGGGAGCTGCTGGGCAGGGGGTGGGGCAGGAGGGTGGGCAAGGGGACTGGGTGGCACTGCTCACCGTAGTCCAGCTCCGATCTGCAGATGAATTAAGGCAGTCGGGGGCGTGCCATGGACCTCAAGCATCCTCTGCAGCTCCTCTGAAGGACAATGTGGGGTGTGCTGTGCTAACTGCTGCATCCATTAGGGAGGGCCCAGGGAAGGGGACAAGGGGATGGAGCTATGCTGGTTTGCAAAGAAAGCCTGAGGCAATGCATGCGGCCACGCAGCACACACTTTTGAACTTGTTTGCACATCTAAACGTGGCACCAAGTGTGGCAGGGACTGGCTATGCCTCACCACCAGGTTTGGACGGGGCTCACTGGAACAGTACTGCAGCCAAGACAAAGCAGTGCAATGGGAGCCCTTAGGCAGCAGTGGGGTAGCTGCTGCCTCCTTTTCTCCGCCTTGGGAGAAAAGAAGTGGTTCTGCAACTAGCTTAAAACAACCCCAGAAACCCCCTGTGCTAGCAGAGACACTGCAGTCTGTGGCTGGCCGAGCCATGGAGGCGGGAGGCAGAGAATGCTGCCAGAGCAGCACTGGCAGGGCAGCTCCCGCCTGGGCACACGGAGCAGCTCAGGGACACCAAGAAACTGAGCCATAGCCCAGGGCATGGCTGGTGAGCAGGATACGAGGTGGAATAAAGAAAGCACTGCACGTTCTTTAGAGGGATCAGCAAATTCTCCCTAGAAGAGACTCAAAGCTGAGGAACAGAGCTGCAGAAGGATGGCTGGGTAGGAGGAACAGCTGAGCCTGTCCCTCGCACACGGAGCAGCTCAGGGACACCAAGAAACTGAGCCATAGCCCAGGGCATGGCTGGTGAGCAGGATACGAGGTGGAATAAAGAAAGCACTGCACGTTCTTTAGAGGGATCAGCAAATTCTCCCTAGAAGAGACTCAAAGCTGAGGAACAGAGCTGCAGAAGGATGGCTGGGTAGGAGGAACAGCTGAGCCTGTCCCTCTGTGCTTCGAGCGCGTTGGTCACTGCACACCACCACTGCCTCCACCCAGACATGTGTTTCGCTGGGATAACACCAAATGCAATTTATGTTTTTCAATAAAAAGCCACTTTTGCAGCAGCTGACGGCTCTTAGATTTCTGTCATGCATTGCAATGCATCTAAGGCCTGACATTAGCCCAGCATGGCATGTCTGATGGCTTAAATTAATCCTCCTTTATAATTAACTTTAATTTCCTGCCGCCTTTCTGGGGCTTTGTGTCTCTCAGCTTCCCCCTCATCAAAGCCTTTACTCCTTTTTTTTTGTATTATTTATTATTGCCAAAATATCATTTAAGTGGGGGGAATATACAAGGGTGTTTCATTCCATCACATTCATT